ATATTTATATATATATTTAATATATACATACATGTGTGGCACACCCCACATGGATTTGCATTTTTTCCTGTTGACGGTGTCTGCACGGTGCTCGGATATGAGCAATAATGCAATTCATTTAGAGCGTTTTACAAACACAAGTATATGTGGATATAAATATTATTAAATATTTTTTAGCTATCTGTTAGATCCAGAATATATATTCTAAATTGTATTATACATGTATTTTGATTGTGTTTGTCTGTGGGCTATGTAGTCCATGCAGTTGGTTCATGGAGTCATCACAACCACCTCTCCTGTGTGATATTGACAGCTGGTTTATGTCGGTCAGCTTAGCCAATAGGACATTGACGTGGGAGGCGGAGTTTAATGAAGGAGCCTTTGGGCATGCCACTCCTCCCACTCCTTTTTCTCCCCTAATACTCAATAGATCGTGACGAGTGAGATGGCCACGTCATGCATTGGCGGGTGGTGGGAGGTAATGGCCCTGATTGGCTAAGTGTGTCTCCTTGGCAACCGGAACGCTGTGGTCAGGGGGACCCAAATACTGCATAGGACGAAGGTGGACATACATGCTCTGATGAAGGGGGCGTGGCCCCCGAAAACGCGTTCAGCATTTAGTGGTCGGACAGAGGGACTAGAGCTGCAACAGTTAATCGATTTAGTCGATTAAAATCGACGATTGAAAACGTTGGCAACGTTTTCGATCGTCGATTCGTCGGCTATCGATTGATTTCCCTGTTCGGGGCTCTACACGCGGCCTGAAGCACACGCTGCTCACGTCCCGCTGCGCCTGCCGTGCCCACAGGACGCATAAGCCACGCCCACCGCACGCTGCTCCCGCCGTGCCCACAGGACGCCGAAGCCACGCCCACCGCTGAAGCCGCGCACGTCGCTGCTCTCCTCCTCGACGCGATCTCCAACCATGCCGCGTATATGCCATGCCCACCACACAAGCCGGACACACGCTCGCAGAGCATGCCGACGCCGCGGTGACTTACAAGGGTTCAGAAACAGGTAAGGGGGACCTGTTTTAATGTTTCCTGTTTAAAATAAAAATAAAAAATAATACATTAAACACCCTGTATAATGTACTATTGCTGGGACTTGTTGTTCCTCTATAGCTGGTGGTATTCTCCATTGCGCTGTATAATGTATTATTGTTGGGATTTGTAGTTCCTCTATAACTGGTCAGTGGTAATCTGCATTGCGCAGTATAATCATTATACAGCGCAATGGAGAATACCACCAGCTATAGAGGACTACAAATCCCAGCAATAATACATTATATACAGCGCAATGCAGAGTAACGCCAGCTACAGAGGACTACAAATCCCAACAATAGTACATATGTAGTATAATGTAGTATTGCTACATTCCTCTATAGCTGCTGGTATTCTGCACTGCGCCGCTGTATTATGTACTATATTGCACACCACACTTTTTTTTACTTCTACCGCGCCAAGCTTGCTCCCGTGATGGACTACAATCTCACCACAAACTAGTAGTCCATCACTGGAGCCTTTTTTTTTATCCGATTAACCGATTAATCGAACCTAATAATCGGCCAACTAATCGATTATGAAAATAATCGTTAGCTGCAGCCCTAAGAGGGACGTAGCGGCTTGTGTGATCTCACGGTCTCGGCAAAAACGAAACGTACCTCGTTCACAGCGCCACAGCCGCATTTGACACTTTATAAAGACTCATCGTTTGCGAGTACGATTTATGATCATTTTACAATCTTTTAAATAAAACAATTTTACACTACGGCGCCCTGTCATTTCTCGCTTTTATAGTTTTGTTTCAGTTCCCCGAGGGACTGCCTTCAGTAGTGTTGTATATTTAAAGGGCAGCTATGCAAATCCTGTGGCGCTGATGTGGAATGTGGGAAAACAGTATCTAAACATTTCATAAGTGATTAGAAATAACCGGAAGACACACAGATACATAGCCAAACCATGAACTTTCAAGGAAAGCACCTGGCAATCTGTTGAATGAATTACATTTACAAATATTGATCCTAAAACCACCTCTATTCCCATGATACACAAGAAAACAGGAAGCTGGCAGAGAAATACACTAATCTTATCAAATCTACATAGAATAGGATACGTGATCTAACTTAAAGTGAAGCTGTGCTATGCCCATTCAGGAGAAAACAACAGGATCTCTTCAATGGAGGTCCCACGCTCCCCCATCACTTCATTAGACTGCTGGGAGTGAAGAATGGGAGCCCTGTATAATCTCCAAGACTCTATTTGAAGCTTACACAGGGCTGAGGACTCTCCCTGCACACATATGACAGTGCTGCTCCAATCATCATGCACCAGCACTGACACGTGAGAAAGGGGAGTGAATCACATACAAAAACGTTACAGGTATATTTCTTGTTCCCAGCAACCAAGGGAAGGCAAGTATAAGCTGCTGGTGGGGCCACCATTATAATTTGGGAAAAGCATAGGTTCACTTTAACCCCTTCATGACTGAGCTTTTTTTTAGTTTCGGTTCGTAAATGATTGACGCACTTTTACATTTTGCTGTGTGATTCTTCCATGGCAGTAATATACTTTCTTACTAAGTGCACCCACACATATAATATATATTTTCTTAGAGGACAGATAGGGCTATATATTTATATCACATATGTGTGCCTAACAGATAAAATATTAAAAAATGAGGGGGAAAAAATGTAAAGAAAACACTTTTTCCCCAGTTTTGATTATTATCTTTTAGAAAAATAGCACAGCTAAAAACATGCATTAAAATACATTCCTGCATTTGACCTTTATTTGGAAACACCTCACATGCCTAGGATTTTAGAACATTTTCTGTACTTCTCTGCCTCAAATTAAAAGCTAACATTTTAACTAAAAGCAACATTCATTTTAACTTTTTCTTCTCTAAAACCTAATAATGGTCACCAGGTTAGACAGGTGGCATACAATGTCACTGTCACTAAGTGTCACACTTAGTGACGGCGACATACTTTGAGCATCGCCATCATGCGGGGTTGAATAAAAAAATAAAAATAAATAACCCTTTAGGATGAAAAACAAATCTGCACTTTTTTTTAAAAAACATTTTTTAAACTTTTATTTTATTTATTTCTAATTATATCAAGCAGTCATGGTGAATGAATCTCACCATGACTGCTGGATAATTTAAATAATTCATTTTTGATTACTATTAGGCTGCTCGAAACTTAGGAACAGCCAATAATAACCTGAGTGACACTGATCCTGCAGCGTGTCAGAGTCAGTGTCACCAAAGGCTTCTGATCGTTCCCAGAACAATCAGTAGCCTTAAACTTTGTTTCAGCATTGAAACATTTAGAAAAAAACCTCCTAATCCTGATGTGTATGGCTGCTTAACAGTGATGGCAAGTGCGGTACACACTGCACTCCAATCACTGTCAGACACCCGATCCCTAAAAGGAATCGGGTGTCTGTAAAAGCAGAATTCTTTCATTAATGGATGTCTCAATACTGAGGCATCCATTAATCAACGGTAACCGCTGATCTCAGTGGTTACCGGCATTCCACATCCCCACTTAGGCCCCATTCACATCTAGCGACTTATCGCGCGATTTCCGCCGCGATATCACGAGAAGTCGCCGGCTAATGATAGTCAATGGAGCTGTCTTATCTCCATGTCGCGCGTCGCTCGTCGCGGTCGCAAATCGCTTCTACAGGACCCTTTTTTCGGCGGATTTTGCTTTTCTCTATGGAGCCCGACGGAGAAGGTCGCGCTACCATCGCTGGAACGTCGCCCCGAAAGTCGCGATATCCCGGCCGCTGCAAAGGTATGTCGCTACATGTGAATGGGGCCTCAGTGACGGAGACGTACAGTTTATGTCTCCCATGACTAAGGGGTTAAAGAGGCAGTCCACCGTAAACTGCTATTTCTGTTTTGAGTGAAAATTCAGTTACCCAGTAGATTAATTTACCTCGTCAGGACTCTTATGGCGAGATCCCTCACCTTAAATCAGGGGTAGCCAAACTGCGGCCCTCCAGCTGTGGGGAAACTACAAATACTATCATGCATCTGCCTCGTTAGGCCATGTCTGTGGCTGTCAGAGTCTTGCAATGCCTAATGGGACTTGTAGTTTCATCACAGCTGGAGGGCCGCAGTTTGGCTACCCCTGCCTTAAATAAACCTGTTGCTGGGGAATTTAAACCGAGCAAATGGGGAAAAACTGCAGAACTGGATATAAAAACAAACAGTAGATCCAGAAACAAAAGAAATGGAAGTTATATGCAAATCGTACATTTTCGCATAGTGGGTGTCACTGTCAGCACCCTTCTGGCCAGCATCCCTTGATCAGTTGATCGAAGAAGACGGTGGGAAAATTCTCGGACGAACAGAGCTATCAGCTGATTGCCAGTTCGGGTATTTTGACAGAGGCTGGTGGCTACTGTCAGAATACAATGCAAACAGCGGGGGATTCATCCATCAACGTTTATAAGCATTGATGGAGGAATCTGTCATATTTTCTTCGTTTGGCCCGCAGGTTGAACGAAGAAAATAATAAGCGTGTATACACGGCTTAAAGGTCAGCCGTGGCCCTGTCCCTCATAAGCCATGAATCATTGACCAATAGGGCTGTGTAAATCTTCCCCATTGGATGGAGAAAAATACAAATAATTTGGCAAGAAAATCAGCGTCCTATATGTATTTCAAGGGTGTATTTATAGTTTGCCTGCAGTTCAGTTTTAAATGATTTGGAGAGTATTGAAGAAACTGGGTCAGCATAACAGCTAATAAACTAGCGAGAGTTCAGCAATGACAGCCTCCATATGATTCTTATTATAGTTTATCTACAATAAATCCCTTCAATAATCTCACATCAAAGAGAACAATTTGCATTCTCAGATATTAAAGGGGCTGCATATTATAGAAAGTGGATATGATGTGGGGAAGATCCAAGGAGATGTAATGCATCAAGACAAGCCAAGGTACCTGCATAGGTGACTTGATCTTCCCGGAGCGGCCTCTTGTCCCAGTTTGATAACTGCTGAGTCTTGTCTAGTGGTTTGCCCAACACATCCTTTACCAGTAAACTCAGCCCCTTCTCTGGCTGGCGAATGCCTTCTTCTACAGGTCTGTCCTCAAGAACATCCACTGGCCCACCAGGAGTCCTCACTCGACTTCGGCAGCACTGAATCTAAAGCAAAAAAAGACACATCTTACAGGTACTGAGACAGGGTGCTGTGGTGTTTTCAGGAAGCTATCTATGTACAGCCCCCTGTCAGCACTTGCATCAGCCATGACATTCCTCCAATTGCATACAGAAATACAGAGACCCAGTCATGACATCACTTGTTCAAAAATAAGATTGTGAAAATGAAAGGCATTATTTAAAAATGTCATAAGCATGTTGGTGAAGGTTTGCAGGACTAGGGAGGTTTAAACTTCAGCTTTAAATACAGAGATCTGAATATCAACCAATAAAGGGAGCTCTCATTGGTTGAAAGAGGCCCCCTTACCTCTGCTTAACAGTTTTTGCAATAGGATATCAACCAGAAAGGGTGTGCATTGTTTTCATTGAGCTGGCCAACAAAAGTGAATTGTGAGAAGAACAAGTAAAGCAAAAAAAAAATGTGTGTGTAGCAATAGAAACCAGAAGTAGAATCTGCGTATGCAATGGGCAAATATACATACACATCGTATATTACAAATGCTGTTTTAAAAAAATATAAAAAAAATGCATGAATAAGATTATTTATATCAAGCTAATCCCAATTTATGTATAACAATCACTGACAAGGCTATACTGAACATTCACTTTAAAGATAGAGATTTTCTGTGATATGCTTTTAAGTGGTCATACACACTACTTCAAATTAAAATGTCTGTCAAACAGAACCATGGGTTTACAACAACAATTTATTGTTAACAGTAATGTCATTTTGCTAAATCTAAAGCGGGCCATACACGGAGCTAAAATTTAAGTCCTGGGTGACCCTTTTGGAACCCCCCAGCTCGACCAAGTCTCAGCCAAACATCACCTGCATCCAAATCAGGAATCTGTTTGATTAGTGTAATCTATTAGCCCTCGTTCACACCTGAACGTTTTGTAGCGCGTTCTACGCTCGACGAACGCTCTACAAAACGCTCAAAAATATAAATCCCATTGTATTCAATGGTCTCGTTCCCACCTTGGCGTATTTCCGCCCGTCCCTAACGCGCTACAAAATGGCCCACACCTGAAAAGGTACAGGTACTACTTTGGGCCATTTTGTTGCGCGTTTCCATTGGGCTACAGCCAAGTAGCCTTCGGAAACGCGCGACGGTTGCACAACTTTTTTACCGCAAATCGCGGTAAAAAAACGCGCGACAGACGCGCATATGCAATACGCCTAGGTGTGAACGAGACCTTAGTGTATGCCCAGCCTCAATCAGGGTTAAATGACCATTCTAACAACAGATGGAGTTCAGCGGAGGCCTTCTATGAGAAGCAAGAAATGGTGTTTCAGTCCTCCGTACAGACTGATAATTGTCAGAACATAACTGTAGAATCAGATTGGTGAATTCAGAGGCCGGTGAGGTCACAGAGGATGTTTATTGGTGCTCCAATTCAGATGATTTATTAGGACACTTTTCTAAAGGAGTGTCAGCAATCAGGAAGGATGGAGGCAGATAATTATGATGGCACCCTGTAGTCACACTGGTACACTATTCAGCTAAAAGGTCAGACATGTGAAGCTCAACAATAAACTTTGTACCTGTTTATGGACCTCACAGAGGTCAATCACATTGCGCAATTCCACTCCTCGAAAGGCAGAATGTGTGGCATCCAGACTTTGTAAATCCCCGAGCATGCCGTATCCTGGACAAGATAAGCATTTCTATATTACAACCTGAGAGCAATTGGAAACAAACAAATGCAACAGATAACAACCAATAACCATCTAACCCTATGAAACAGCATTCAGGAGGCTTTGACATTTTTAGATAATTTCCCAATATTCTTTTCTGAGAGAGCAGGTAAAATCATTGCTGAAATGGCTAATGTAGCTTCTTGTGGATGGGGTGACAATGATGCTGCACTGATCCTGAATTCAGAGCAGAGTTGTCACCCTCATGTAGGCCTGCTTGCACTACAGTGGGATTAGAAGATGCTGCAGGGGGTGTATCTATCAGAATTGCCACAGCTAATTCACAAGTTTGCAGATCGTCAGTCAGCACCAAAGCTATACTCACCTGAACTGTGGAGCCGGCTTGTTCTTAGACCGGTCCTTCCAGCCTCTCTCCCTCTCCTCTGCAGTGGTCTAAGGTCCTATAAATCATCACATTCTATACACATTGTATAGATGTGAGGACCATTTCAATACTGCAGTGTAGGAGAGAGGCTTCAGTGACTGTAGAAACAGGGAGCTGGCTTAGCAGTTCAGGTGAGTGTAACTTTTTTTTTTTTTAGCACCAAGATAAATAAAAGAGTTAACCCTTGTAAAAATTTTACCCAGAGTTCCTCTTTAAATTCAAAAACTCACATTAGATACATTTACCTACTTAAATTCATAACTGTATTAATTGGTAATGCTTTAATTTCTGCCTGGAAGCCAGCTTTAACTTGGCAGGGAGATCTCACCATGGAGTCTACAGGGCATATAAAAACGCATGAGGAAACTCAGTCTACTAGGCTTCATCAATACCCGAAATACTACTTTTAGGTGGTATGACCCAATAATTTGTTGAGAGTCAAGATAAGAAAGGTGGAAGGAATAAGGAAGGTAGGTAAATATAGAAAGGTAGAACTTGTCCGCAAAGCCAATTTAACTGCATATATTAAATGGAATGGCACATTGTATATTGAATATGGGGACTTTAAAGAACAGACAATTGTTTTTTACCCAGTTTTGTGATTGTGGGGCAGGAAAAGAGCTCTTTGATGAATCTGACCAGCTGTGGGCCATCTTCTCCCTCTTCATTACCACTCTGGAGAAAGTCACCCTGCAGCAAATCCACCATGAAGACCTCTCCCTTCACTGCAATCTGAATCAATGACACGTTTGGCTTTCCAAGTCCCCCAAAAGAGGGTCTCCACTCCATGTCCACACCCACAACTTGTCCATCCTGGAAAACAGGAGAAAGAGAGACTTTTGCACTTTGTCCAATATAACGAGATATAGAGGAATGTAAACATTTCCATGTCTTTAAAATAATAAACTTCAATGTTCTTCAGATTTCAAATATCAATCATTTAATTATGAAACTGTTTCTAAATTAATTGCTGTTCCATTGACAAGTACTACAGAGGGTAAAGTGTATGCAAACCCTAACAATGGGCGTCTCTTATTTGCTCCTTGTTACTAAATATACAACTGAAATTGGTTTTGTTATAAAAAAAATACCTGTTATTAGTAACTTTGCTCCCAGTAATCTCTGTAGACTACTTCACCTCCCCACTACGCTAGGAAGAAGATGAGAGGGGGTGGAGTTCTACAATCCTGGTAAGCTTCCTATCCCAAGGCGACAACACTGCTCTTCCACAGATACAGTACGAGTGAGCTTTGTCACTCTAGGACAGGAAGTGTGCTACTAGGGTGAAAATAAAGTGTTTCACCGGGTGAAAATAAAAGCACTGCTGCCCACATTTTCTTAATGGACTCTCATCCCACACCAGATCTATTTCCAAATCACCATTCTGAGTCAATACCTTTCACCTCACTGTTTTAAGCCCTAAGAAAGGAGGTTGTGCCTGCTCTCGAAATGCGTTGTTTGATCAATATAACTGGTAATACTTTTAATGAACTCTGACATCTGATCAGTTTGGCTCCCTATCTTCCTTTCTTGTGCAATATTAAAATATTTGACCTGCCCTATGCATGACAATCGTGCAAAAATGTTCATAAATGAGGCGCGTGTGAATGGGAGCCTAATATGTGGCTGTATTTTAAAGTGCATCTAAACCCTAACTCCTAAACCAAATATGTTGTTACACATGATCCCATAAGATCAAAAAAATTGAGTCCTTTTTAAATATGTCCTCTTTATAACTTAAAAGTAACTCTGTCTTGCGGAATGTATGGGGCTATCATTTCTGGCCCTCTTAAAAATTCTAGTTGCCTGACAGTGTCTGGCTTTAAAGCCATATATCCGGAACAAGCATGCTGTAAATGAGTATCAGAAAAGTGTCAGAATTCCTTATCTCTATAATGGTTTCAAATCAGAGACTCAATAGGCACGGAAGCCAAAGCATGACCATGAGAGCCAGGGAACCAACATTCTCAAATAAGAGGTGAGCAATGGCAGCCCCATACTTTTCTGATGACAGAGTCACTTCAATCATACAAAGCAAGGTGTATCCACAGGCACTTGCATTACTTAAAGTGTTGTAACCCTTTCCTGAACACTCTTGAATTGGGTTACAACCACCACAGCAAAAGTGTAATGTTCAGCTGCTGCTGGAACGTATATACATCCACAGGAAACTCATACACAGAGCCCACAGGATGTGCACGGTGCATGGAGATAAAACATGGAAAATGGGAAGACTGTATTTTAGCAAAAAATAATGCAATCCTAGTTTATGTACTGTTATTACTTACTACTAATATTCTTATGTGAGAGTTTAGTTCTACTTTATTAATAAGCCTAAAGCTTAAAAGGAGAACTATGGGGTCAGGGCTTTTCCCCATAGTTCTCCTAAGGGTCACTGGAGAACATGAACTAGCGTTCTCCCGTGACCCAAAGCTCAGTATACCGCGAGCTACAGCTCGCGTTATACTAAGACGCCGCAGCCGGGACGGATCCCGACATTGAGATAGTTCTCCTTTAAAGGAAAGTAGGGGACAGATGTGTTCAAAAGGTAGTTGGGTTTCCCCCTTATGCCAGGACAAGGTGAAGTCTTCTTCAGAGTATGGAAACCCTGCCCTCTGAATGGTCAACAGTTTGCTGGTGTGGCACATGAGTAATTTCAGACAGCTCCGCATGAATTAATACTTTAAAGCAGTGGCGTAACAATTAACATAGCGACCCAGGCGGCCGCTATGAGGCCCGAGGCACGGCGGGGCCCGGCCAGGACATCTCCCTGATGCCATGCGACATTTTTATGGTAACAAATGTTGCAACACTAAATGATTTGGTCGCCACTTGGAGCTCACATATAGTGGAGGCCTCTCACTTTGTTCTATGAGACAGCGCTGAGGGGGAGTGAGTCACATGCTCCCCATACCCAGAAACAAACTGATAGAGGGCTAAATAGGGGGCATGGTATGCGCAAATGGTGGGGATACCAATAAAATAAACCTGTCTGTTTGCCCTACATGGGCAAAACCCAGGTTCACTTTAATGTTTTTAGATTGTAAGCCCTCACGGGCAGGGCCCTCCTTACCATCTTGTCTTGAATTGTATTGTGATTGTAATGTCTTCCTTATATTGTAAAGCGCTGTGCAAACTATTGGCGCTATATAAATCCTGTATAATAATAATGTTCAGAAATGCATTTAATTTTGGGAAAGAGGGTTTATCAGCATTCCAAGAAACTCATAAATCAAAACAATAAGAATCAGTGCTTATACTGCCTACCTTCTTGTTTTTATCAAAAGGTGCATTCTTCGGCACCATCTAAGAGTTTCTATCAGGCTTGCAGCAGGCCTGGCTGCTCTGAAAGCTGATGGGTGGTAAAGGTTAGTATTCTATAGGAGACAGGTCAGGTTAGGCTTCCGCAGTGTAATTTTGCTTAGTAGTAGTCTGAGGGCAGGCAGCTGGAGGTGGGCCAATAACACTGATTTAGAAGGAGGCGGAGCAGTGACGCCAACGCCTCAGAACGGCAGGTTCTGTTAGATGCTGTTATCTGCCTTGGGCTATGCAACCAAATGACACAGCAGCGTGCGGACCATAAAATAATGTGCACTGTATAGCAAATCTTTTAGCTGAGCATTTAATGTCTAACTCCAGACATTTTGTTTTAGTTTTAGATAGGGTATGGAAGAATTTACATTTATGTCGGGTTGTTTTTAGCATCCGTGACCCCACTGGGGAGAAATTCCATCATTTCTCCTTCCTGTGATGCCTTTTGGAGAAATTAGAAGGGTAATTTAGAAGAAATCAGGGGTTGTCACCAGACAAGAAGTGAGAGGAGATCCCTTCCCCAACATTGGAAACAGAACAATAAAATCTGATTAGGACTCTAACACCTTCCTGATATATCCAGAATATGCTTTAACACTTACGCAAACCCTGTCACATGAGTAATTTTTTACCAGACATTCAGAGACATAAATAAAGATTTAGGAGAAGCAGAGAGAAGGAGGGAAGAAAGGATGCACAATCTGATCTTTGTCACTATAGCTAGGGTCTGCTGAGACTTCCCATTACCTGAAGGACGATGTCTCGGCAGAGCGGCAGCGCCGTGTGACTCTGGAGGAAATGAACTTTGCTCCTGGGAATCGGAAGCTGGTAAAAGTAGTTCTTCCTTACTTGTGAAGAATTGTCAGTGTTTTTTTCGTCCTCTGACAGCCTGTAACATAGAACAGAGCCAGCATAGGGGTGCATCATTAATAAAAGCATTTAAAAGCATTGGGAAATGTGGGGGGGAGGTGGGAAAGGGGGGGGGGGGGGGGAGGGAGGAAGTCAATGAAATGAATTTGACAAAAACCTGTGCAGAGAACAAAGGAGTGTACAGGGGATAACAATATATTTGGCTTTATGCAGATTTCAGGGGCAAAGTACTTTAGGTTGATAAATAATTTTAGTGTGAAAACAAAATATGAGGTAACCATGCTTTTCACCAAATAACTGATAAGATGATCAATAATACATACAAGGTTGAACGTTTTATATTGAAACTAACATGCAGCCTATCCTATGCAACTGTGAATGCAGCCTATCTATTCACTTGAGACCAGTGACATCATTGAGAGTACAGCCTATCCATTCACTAGAGAGCGGTGACATCAGTGAGAATGCAGCATATCAATTCTCTATAGACCGGTGACATCACTGAGAATGCAGCAGATCAATTCTCTATAGATCTGTGACATCACTGAGAATGCATCCTATTCATTCACTAGAGACTGGTGACATCACTGAATGCAGCCTATTCATTCACTAGAGACTGGTGACATCACTGAATGCAGCCTATTCATTCACTAGAGACTGGTGACATCACTGAATGCAGCCTATCCATTCACTAGACACCGGTGACATCACTGAGAATGCAGACTCTCCATTCATTATAGACCCATGAGATCACTGAGAATGCAGCCTATCCATTCATTATAGACCCGTGACATCACTGAGAATGCAGTCTATCCATTCATTAGAGACCCGTGACATCACTGAGAATGCAGTCTATCCATTCATTAGAGACCCGTGACATCACTGAGAATGCAGTCTATCCATTCATTAGAGACCCGTGACATCACTGAGAATGCAGCCTATCCCAGGTTGGATGCAAACCCAGAACACTTCCGTGGATTGGAATAGTGTCCTCAACTTTACTAAGAAAAAAATAATAAAGTGCCCAGTGCAGCAAGAAATAAAAATGTACAAATACCTGATCTAACTTTAGGAAATGTTATTGGCCAGAAGGGGTTACTGACGACTGCACATTACCACTGCTTTTTGTTATTAAGTTATTTTCTAAGTTATTTGTTAGTTTTATTTTAAGATATTTTCCCCCTCCCAAAAAAATCACTCATCATTTGAAGCCTTCATCACTTCCATGGTACATGAAAGCCCGCTAACAGATTTGAGTAAGTTGCCTGGCTGTTTGGCTGGGAATTCTAGTCTGTGTTTAGGAGGATCACAGCAAAATGTCTGTCTGTCTGTCTGTCTGTCTGTCTGAGGAGCTGAAGAAATGCAGTTACAACAATTACTAGAAGTGACTACAAGTGAACAATCAGTGGTGTCAGATGAGTGAAGATAAAAAAGCTGTTACAGATAACACACGCACTGAATGATACACCACTTGATGATAAAGAAAGACACTTAATTAGGGACAGTCATAAATTGTGCACGTTGGTTTATTTGTTCCAGATGGATCAAAAAAGAGAATGTGGAATAAGCAGATAACATCACAGGAAACTGCAGAGATTATCCAATTTAGAGCAGACAAGCCAATTGCTCCACAGTCCTATCATTAGAAGTCGGCCGGGTGTGAAGTCACAATCTAAACACCAAATGATAATTACCGTTACATCAGTGTGTGGTAATGGATTAGTGTTTGATTAAAGGGATATAACAATGATTTGGGGTACATTTTTAGCTGTTTTTAAAGTGACCCTGATGCTATACTAAACTTTCCAAATAAAGCTATACCTGGAAAACAAGAGAGGGATACCTACCTCCCCCTCCTGCCCTAAACTGCTAAACACTGCTTCAGTCCTAAGGAAGTTTTCCTCAAAAGTCTACAGGGTAAGCAGCACGTCCGGGAGTGTAGATCTCCTGGGTCCCCCACAGTTCTCAATGGTTCCCCCTGGCGATTGCCATGTCATTGCAGTATCCTGTAGTGGTGCAAATATTCTACCTGTGATGAAGACAATGCAGTTCATCCATAGACCTACAACTGTTTCCCAAACAGAACCAGGCAACAATAATGTCATAAGCTTGGGTAGCCTTAAATCCCCCTGAAAAACTTTGCTTTAAAACATGTCCAGTTGTCCCATCATATTCACATCTGAACCCTCTCTAAGTCCCCTGTTTCCTTCTTACAGTGTGGCAATCAAAATTAAGATATGAACTTATAAGCTATTTACATCCCTCTATATACCAACCTAGGCCAAGTAGTGGCTTCCTGGCCTCATGGTACTACACATCCCAGCACAGTTCATTGCCCTTCTGGGAATTGTAGTTTCCTAACAATTCTCGGAATAGCTGAAAGAATGCCTACTTTTGCTCTCCCCCATGAGAACTACACCTGAGTCCCAGAGCCAGACATGGCTGCAGACTTGTTAAGACTGATATTCCCAGGACACGGGAAGAAAAGTGTCTCTTAGGGTTTCTCGTGGGAACTGGAGATAGTCCAAGAACACAGAGACTCCTCTCTCTCTCTCTGGGAACTCATGCGTGGCAATGAATGTGTTAAATTGTGGAAAGCCGGTTCTCAGCCAGACAGGTAAACTTGTAAAAGGGGAAAGAAAAAAAAAAAAAAAAAAAACGCTCAATGA